AAAAAGTATGCTAACGGTCATGTCATCTCGATTCGCTATTGCTAAATCCGGTTGACCATCATTATTAAAATCAGCAGATGTTAAATAATTTGGACCTTGACCAACATCATAATGGACTGCATCCAGAAAAAGTCCATTTCCCAAACCAAATAGAACACTAACTGTATCGTCATCTGTATTCGCTACTACCAAATCGATTTTCTTATCGTTATTCAAGTCGACTGATATCATACTAGATGGTGATTGACCAATAGCAGGTCGTGTACTTCGAAAAATTTGCTCCTTATCACCTAGTAGTAAAGACACAGTATTATCGTTTGAATTTGCAATTGCGACATCGATGTATGTATCATTATCGAAATAGCCCAGCACCGAAGAAGATGGAAAGTTTCCAGTATCAACAGCATCAAATGGTTCAAATGGATTATCGCATACATATTCTAAAGCAAAACAATTATTATTAAAATATAGAATAAATTAATTGAAATATTTGTAATTTAACTAGATAAGAAACTATATGAGAATCTATTTATTACTTATGAATATGTATATGCAATAAAATGTTATAAGTTCTCTTAAAATCGGAAAAGAATATTCAAATTTCATACTTGTTGGTTTTGATTTTGTTCCCAAAATAACACCAATAACAACAGCTGCAATAAGAAGAGTAAGTAATAAACACGTTGGAATTATAAATCGTTTCTTTCGATAAAATGGACGTCTTATATGAATAAAAAGAAATAAAATAATAAAAAAATATTAAATTAGACTTACGGAATTTTTGGATAAATATGTGCACCTAAATATTAAAAAAAAATATTATTAATATATATATATATACAATAAATGATTGAAATACCTTCAAATGGTGGTTCAAGTGTTATCATTTCTGGTTCTACTTGTTTCAAATGAATAATATATAAATTAGGCGCTGGACTAAGTTGCGATTGAACTATCATATGAGTACCTGACATAAGAGCAATTTCATCTTCAGTAACGAAATGTGAATGTGCTTTTATCGTTCGACCATTGATTGCTTCAACGGAAAAAAGTGTTCGATCACCTTCTTGTCCCAAATACATATTATTTTCAAGTACAGTCATTTCAGTTGTACATGATGAAAATGCCCACCATGTCATAGCACTACCAGGTGGAAATTCTGCACTTAAATTCATAGTTACTCCACGCCAAACAGTTAATGGTGGAACACATGGTAATTTAACAAGAGCAGTTAAGAACAATTTGAGATACTTGAAAAAAGGTAAAAGTGCTGGACGATCATTATTTTTCAGATTATAATTGAGTGTTGAATAGAGACTTCGATGAGGTTTATCCCATTCAATTGTATAAAGACGAATTGCAGCACTTTCATTAATTGTTAATCCATCAGGTGGTTGTTCAGGAGTTTCTCTTAATGCTAAGTCAACATAGAATGTTAAATTATGAAAAATATCATTTAATGGAGCACATGCTTGTGCAAGTGGTAATAAAGGTTCTTCTGCATATCCTAGAATAGGACTTGGATCTTTTCCATCACTTTTAAGATTTTCTTTATTAATTTTTTTTGTATTATGTCTATTTCGTTGGTTAGATCTATTTCTGTCAGTATTCGGATTTGCTTCTGATCTCCCTGTTTGTCTTCCACCACGTGTTACTTCTCGATTGCGATTTTCATTTGTCCCATCTACCGGATGTGCTACATTCTCCCTAGTATTGCCTCTTTGATTTGTTGCCTGTTGACGTTCGTTCGTTACATTATCATCCAAGACAATATCTATAGATGTTGTTTGTATGCCAATATCTATAGTCTGTATGTATTCTCGATAATTTTCCGATTCATCATCGAGTCTATTTGCAGTTAAATTAGTTTGTATGTAAACATTTCTGCTAGCTGTAAGTTGATCATTGAGTGGAACTTCTGTTTCTATTGTATATATAGGAAGATTGTTGATTTCCATTGTTTCCAGCTGTGGATAATCGCTCATATTTCGTTGTTTTTCGTAATGAATATCGATGATCTATGATAAAAGATAAAGTATTTCTTATGAAGAATATCTATGTGAGAATATATATCTTAAAATTATATAATTGAAGTTGGAGATTTATTATAGCAGAGTAACACAAAAAATATCATTATTTTTCTAACTTTTTAGTAGAATAATTATATATAAAAATGATAAAATGTCACAAAATATTATTTAAAATATGGGTCGAATGAGGTAACTACTAAAATCGATTTTTATATGATAATTGTTATTTTTTTTGTAATATTTACCGTTAGAGAATATTGAAAAACGATTGAAATGGAAAATGAATAAATGTGTATAGTAAGTAGTTATGTAAAAAATAAAAAGAATACATTATGAGAAAAACAAGGGGGTATTTTATTTTTTTTCTCATAATACAGTAATAATTATGCTCAAATAGTGTGTCATATTGATAAAATCAACGAAGTATATTGTAAGTCATGCGTGCATAAATTGGGTTTCTATTGGCAGTCATAAAAAAAATATATATGTGAGAAGCAATTATCCGCAACGGAGCATATACATGTGCGCGAATGTAAAAGCTTGTATTCATAATTATATTTTGTGTAGTTTTAGCTTATTGACTATATATAATAAAATTTATCTTACTTCTTTCGTTCACACGATAATGATGAGACATATTTTTCGCGTCATATTTCAATGACACCTATGAACTGTATATGTATATGTATTGAGCCACGTGACGATTTATTTATTATATTAAAACATAAAAAATTATAACACACAAAGACGAACTAAATTTAACCTGATTTCATTTAAGATCGAAAACTATTAGAGTTTGTGCACTTAAATGTTAATTAAAATTTTTTTAACTTTCAAAAATACTAGATAATGAATATTTATCTAATTTATAAAAAAAACAATGAATTATTGTTTTCTTATCTGATAAAATAAAATTTTTTT